CCCTTACCCCCACCCCCACTGTGTGTTATGATATCTCTATGCTATGACTCTAATTTTGAGAAATCACATTCTGAGGAACTGGGGGCTAGAGTTTCAAATTTGGAAAGGGACGCAATTCAGCCCGTAACATTACCCTTGGATTGTAAGCTCATGCTACTCTGCCTGACAGCCTTCTCTGCTCTAAGCTGGTACTTATTTTACACATTACAAAACAGTAAAGGCCTTTTAGGGTGAGAGTGTTTTTTTCTTAAGGATCCCAGGGAATGGAGAATTAAGTCCTGAGCATATAGATTTTAATATTGGAAATTAACCTATTTCATTAAGTTGTGATTACTGACTCAGTTATATTGATCACTTTCATCTCATCTTCTGTTTTCTATTTACCATGCTTTCTTGTTACTTGAAACCACATGTGGTGGCACGGGATTTAGGACACAATGCTGCCTTTGCAGTGCCAGCAACCTTGCAGAGGTGTGTCCACAACACTGTTTGATGGCAAGCAACAGATACTAGCTGGCTAACTTGAGACAAACACCTCCACCACCACCCCACCAAAAAGGGACTTTATTGGTAAAATGTTGAGTAGCACATGGATTCAAAAAAACAGCTGAAGAACCCATCTCTCAGGTTGCCGACGCTAGGGATCCCACCAGCAGGATCCCTAGCAAGAGGTGTGTCCACAACACTGTTTGATGGCAAGCAACAGATACTAGCTGGCTAACTTGAGACAAACACCTCCACCACCACCCCACCAAAAAGGGACTTTATTGGTAAAATGTTGAGTAGCACATGGATTCAAAAAAACAGCTGAAGAACCCATCTCTCAGGTTGCCGACGCTAGGGATCCCACCAGCAGGAGGCGTCTCATCACCACGATAGCACTCAGATAAGTCAGCTCCAACCAGGTTCATTTGTTGTTCTTGTCAATCAATGGTCATTAGCACCAGCTCAAGGCTAACAAGAATTCCCAATTTGCGGTGCGGTGAAGAAGGAAACTTAATTCAGTGCAAACAGCTCGATTGTGATAAAGCACAGCTGTGAAAACAGCTCAGCATTGTTACAGTTCAATTATGAAGCAGCACGTCTGTGAAGCAGCCCTGGAGCGCAAGGCTAGACAGCTCTGCTCTGGTCTGGACTGGTAAAACATCTTTGGTGTTTCAGCTCCAGTCAGAGAAAGGGAAAGTATACTCTCTGAGCAAGATGGGAGCTGACTTTAAGAGAGAGAAAACCCTACTTCTGGTCTATAATAGGTCTGTCCTCATGCAAATGAGGACACAAATTCTCACAGTTTGGTCCAAAAAGCACTGTCCCGAAGTTTTGTAATGTGCACATGACATTCGATTGGAGGTCAGTTAGGAGGCTGTCTCGGTCACCTTCTCTTATACACAGACTAATGTTTTCTCAATGTTTATGTTAATTTTATCAAGTGATATGCAGCTGTCATTCCAAAGGGAGCACTACGTCATCCCCATCTGTCACATGATCACCCTGTGTTTCATACAGGCCCATCTCTTTATGGGCACGTGATTCCCACAAGGCGGTAACGTGATCCTGTCATGACTTCCGCAGGGCCATGCCCCCAATGTTAACACTGTCTAATTTTGAACAGACTGGGCTAAATACCTTCACACATTACCAACAACCTAGATCTTGTTACGGAAACTAATGTGCAGTTCATTGCCCACAGATCAAAGCTGTCCACTCTTACAAAAAAGAAAGGAGACCTCCATTCATGGTAACAATACTGTCCTCCCTTCCAAAGATGTAAACTGGAGACCCCGGCCCATGACCCAAAGACAGTATCTCCCTAACACTAATAAAACGGAGCCCTGGTCTAAAGCCATCAAACCTGTCCTCGTTGAAAATTAGTAGATAGGAAACCTTAAACTGCAAGGCTAGCTTTTTGTCTGGCAAGAATATCTTTCTTGGAGAACAAGAATATTGGCTCCAATCCTGGACTTTCTGTTAGGAGCGAAAGTAGTGACTTTGGCTTGCAGTTCCAATCCCTTCACCTATTGCAGGAAGGAGAGCTGGGACCTTGGCCCACGGCATTTCTTCTGTCTTTCCTAACAGTGACTGAAGTGGTGGCCTGGACCCATGGATCTAAGCCTGTCCTTCCTGAACGAATGTCCAGTGGTGTCCCAGGCCCACAGCAACAAGCCTGTCTTTATGCAAGGAAAACTAGAATGATGATCTACGAATGTGATACCAGGCCTGGACTCTCCTTAGAGGAACTAGTGTCCAGGCACAGGCTCAGAAGGTCAAGAACATCTAATTGATAACATACTAGACAAAACAACTACTCACACTCCACCCAAGGTAGCCCCTGTGAACAGAAACTCAGGTAGAGTGTATGGCCCGCAAAGGGAAGAATGGAGGCTTCCATTATACTAGCAATACTTCTTCCCTTGAAAGGATGTAGAGGGTGACACGGGCCCAAGGCACAAAGCCTGTCTTTTCCTAACAATAAGTACAAGGAAGCCTGGGACCCATGGTACTAAGCCAGACCTCTCTGAAAACTAGTAGATAGG